GTAGTGTGCGACGTGGATGGTCGTACTGAAACGAGTTCTAGTGGGTGCTAGGAGGGAGGTGGGACTGGAGGAAAAACAGCAGGTTTAAGCGGAAGCATCACAGAACGCTAAGCATGATGCGAGGCGGACGGATCAGGCGAAGGTGAGCGGGCATTGTCGCATGGAAGCTGGAATCGCAACCCGAAGAGCAATCACGTGGGAAGACTAGCAGTCTCAAATGCTCTGGTAGATTGACTTCGCGTTTCAAGCGAGTCTTTCATTGTAGGGAGCGGTATCTGCGTGTCCGCTTAACACGCGCGCTGTGCTGCGTCGCATGTTACTCGCAGGCAACCGGGTTAGCCAATTTCGAGTTAACGCGCTCATGACTCGCTCTGCTCGTTTCGCTCCATGTCATGCCGCCCGGTCCATATCACTCCACGTCGTTCCACCGGGGCTCACATACTTCCACGTCATCCCGCCGGCTTTCACATATTTCCATTTCAATTTCATTATCCCTGCGGCGCCATGGCAGGCTGCCCCCCGAGGTGGAGCAGGCGGTGGTGGCGGTGCATCGCGAGATCGCGCAACTCGCGGCGGATGCGGGCCTCTCCATTCCGCTCAACGACCCGGTCAGTCGCGCCCGCCCCTCCGCCCACCCGCCATGCCGCCGCGCATGCTTTCTCTCCACCGCCTCTGCTCTTCCTTCTCTCCCCGTCGGCTCCGCGCATCAGTTCCGCGCTCCCCCTCTTCTGATGCCTTTCCGCCGCCTCCTTCCCTTCCACCCCGTTCAACCCCTTTCCTTCTTGTTCCTTCCCGGACCACCACCCATCCTATCCCCGTCTCCCCCCGCCCTCCCCTTCCCCCCTCCCCGCGCGTCACCCGAGCAGGCGTCGTTGCGGCAGTGGACGGTGGCGCTGGTGCTGCTCGTGCTGTACGCCGCCGCGCCCCCCGCGCCACTCATGGGGCTGCTCGACTTCCTCGTCGCGCCCCTGCACGCGCGCACCGACAAGTAATGCGCCCGCCTCGCGCCCTCACTCCCGTCCGCACTCTCGTCCGCACTCCCGTCCGCACTCCTGCTCGCACTCCGTTCTGCTGCCATCAGATCGCGTTGCTGCCCGTGTTCCGCCAGAGTGCTTGCTAGGCCTGTGTGCGCCGGCCCTGCTGCTGCCCGTAACCTTCACCCTTGCTCCGCTTCGGCCCCTCTTTCCCCCTCCCCCTTCTATTCCCCTCCCCCTTCTATTCCCCTCCCCCTTCTATCCCCCTTTCCCTGCGCCCTGCCCCTTGTTCCTCGCGGCAGGGAGCTGGATCCGGCGCGGGTGAAGGTGGGGCGGCAGATAGGCGAGGGCAGCTTTGGCGTGGTGTACGAGGGTTTCATTTCCAACGGTACGCTCCACGCCCTTCCCTTCCTTTCCCTCTCTCCCTCTCTCTTCCTCTCTCTCCCTTCCTCTCCGTCTCACACGTCATCCCGCTCTCATGTCAACGCCCTCACCGCCGTCCTCCCTGTGCTGTGCGCCGCGGCGCCGTGTGCATGTGCTCCCAGGCAAGTCGGGCAAGGAGGGGCGGTGGGAGCGGAGGGTGGTGTTGAAGCGAGTGAAGACGCGAGTGAAGCACTCCGACGAGATGAGGGACGTCGAGCTCTACATGAACCACCGCCTGCAGGTACATGAACCACCGCCTGCAGGTACATGAACCACCGCCTGCAGGTACATGAACCACCGCCTGCAGGTACATGAACCACCGCCTGCAGGTACATGAACCACCGCCTGCAGGTACATGAACCACCGCCTGCAGGTACATGAACCACCGCCTGCAGGTACATGAACCACCGCCTGCAGGTACATGAACCACCGCCTGCAGGTACATGAACCACCGCCTGCAGGTACATGAACCACCGCCTGCAGGTACATGAACCACCGCCTGCAGGTACATGAACCACCGCCTGCAGGTACATGAACCACCGCCTGCAGGTACATGAACCACCGCCTGCAGGTACATGAACCACCGCCTGCAGGTACATGAACCACCGCCTGCAGGTGCGCACAAGCATACCCCCTTGTGTGTCCCAGCTCTTCGCGATTGTGTGCTCGCTGCGCCGTTCCCTCCACCCGCTCTGCTACCCGCGCCCGACTTCTCCATTCCACCGCCCCCCCGCCTTCCTCTTCCTTCCACCACAGCGCACGGCGCCGGGCGTGTGTGCGCGGTTCATGGGCACCATGCAGGTGGCGCCGGAGCAGGCCAGCGGCAAGCTCGAGGAGGTGAGCCCGGGGGTGCGTAAGAGCTGGGGCTGGGCTGGGGCTGGGGGCGGGGTGGGGCGGGCCCAGGGAGGTATAGGGACGTTTGCACGTGGGAGTGGCGATGCACGGGGTGGGTGCACGTGGGAGGCGGCACGCGGTTGTGGTGGGAGCAGGTGTCGTCTCAATGCCCCAACGGTCTGTGTCTCAATGCCCCAACGGTCTGTGTCTCAATGCCCCAACGGTCTGTGTCTCACTGCCCCAACGGTCAGTGTCTCAATGCCCCAACGGTCTGTGTCTCAATGCCCCAACGGTCTGTGTCTCATTGCCCCAACGGTCTGTGTCTCAATGCCCCAACGGTCTGTGTCTCAATGCCCCAACGGTCTGTGTCTCAATGCCCCAACGGTCTGTGTCTCGCACCCTGCCCTGGCCCCACACACGCCCTCACTCACTGACCCCTCACCATCTCTCCCACCCACTCCTTCCACCACCTGGCCCCGCACATTGGCAACGGCAGTGTGTACACGCACTTGGCTGCACCAATATAATTAACCCTACAACTCACCTCCCCCTGCCATTCACCCTACCCCTCCCTGCTCCCTCCCACCCTCCCCCTTCTCCCTCTGCCCCTCCCCCCTGCCTCCTTCCCCCCCTGGGGTGGCACAACAGGGCGTGTGGCTGGTGTGGGAGTACCAGGGCGATCGCACGCTGGACCAGTTCCTGCGCCACCGCGCCTACCCGCTCAACCTTGCCAAACACGTGCTGGGCGTTGATGATGCCGTGAGTCAACTGCTGGGGTGGGGTGGGCGTGCGGGGAATGCAGGCGTGTGGGCGCCACCAGTGATATGCATGAGGGTGGGAAGGCGGGGGGCGGTGGAGGGATGCATGTGGCGTGGTGGCCATGCGTGCTGCTTGCTTTGCTAGGTCCACCCTGTGTCCTTGCACTTGTGTTGCCTCACGCTTGGCTGTGTGCTTCCCTGCCTGCCTGTGTGCCTGCGTGCACCTGTGTGAGAGCAGTTGTTGCGGGGCAGCAAGGGCAGCAGCTCTGAGGAGAGGGAGCAGCAGGTGTGGATGGAGTGGGAGGTGGCACAGGAGGTCATGAGGCAGATACTCTCCGACCTGAAGCACCTGCACTCCTGTGGTGAGACACAGCACCTGCACTCCTGTGGTGAGACACAGCACCTGCACTCCTGTGGTGAGACACAGCACCTGCACTCCTGTGGTGAGACACAGCACCTGCACTCCTGTGGTGAGACACAGCACCTGCACTCCTGTGGTGAGACACAGCACCGCCTGCCACGCTGCCATTCGCTCACCACCATCTCGCCTGCTCACCACCATTCGCTCTCACCACCACCGTTCCTGAGGGCACCCTATCAGAGCCACCACCGTGCCACATCTAATGGTCCCTCCCCTTCCCCTTCCCTCGCCCCTACCCCCTTCAGGAGTGGTGCACAGGGACGTGAAGCCATCGAACCTGATACTGGACGAGCTGGCGGGCAGTCTGTGCCTCATCGACCTGGGCGCCTGTGTCGACCTGCGCTCCGGCCACAACTACGTGCGTCCACCCCCACCCGCCCCCGCCAGCGCCCTCTGGTCTTGCCATGCCTTTACTTGCACGGCCCCCCTCCATGCCATGCCATGCCATGCCATGCCGTGCCTGCCCACTGCCCCCCACCATGCCATTCACTGTATCCCCATCCCCTTGTGGCGTCTCTCTTGCCCCATGACGTTCCACCACCCCCCTCACCCCCTCCCCCCACCAGGTACCAAACGAGACGGTGATGGATCCCAAGTACTGTGCACCGGAGCGCTTTGTCATGCCGCCCGGCACCACGCCGCCCCTGCCGCCCGACCCGCTGGCGTCGCTGCTGTCACCCTTCCTCTGGGCGCTCAACACACCCGACCGCTTTGATGTCTACTCCGCTGTGAGGCCCCTCTCTCACTCACCCTCTCACTCGCCGTGCATTGCTCCCTCACTCCCTCATCACTCCATCACTCTCTCCCCATTGCCGCCTTTCCCGCCCGTCCTCCCCTTCCCCTCCCATCTCGCCCTATTTATCTCCTCACGCTTCTCTCCCGTCCCTTCCCCCTTATGCCCCCTCCCCCCCGTGCTGTCCCTCACAGGGCATAGTGCTGATGCAGCTGTGCATGAAGCGACTGCGCGATGCGTCTGCTCTGGTGCGTCCCTTGTGCCTCGCGTGCGTCCCTTGTGCCTCGCGTGCGTCCCTTGTGCCTCGCGTGCGTCCCTTGTGCCTCGCGTGCGTCCCTTGTGCCTCGCGTGCGTCCCTTGTGCCTCGCGTGCGTCCCTTGTGCCTCGCGTGCGTCCCTTGTGCCTCGCGTGCGTCCCTTGTGCCTCGCGTGCGTCCCTTGTGCCTCGCGTGCGTCCCTTGTGCCTCGCGTGCGTCCCTTGTGCCTCGCGTGCGTCCCTTGTGCCTCGCGTGCGTCCCTTGTGCCTCGCGTGCGTCCCTTGTGCCTCGCGTGCGTCCCTTGTGCCTCGCATGCGTCCCTTGTGCCTCGCATGCGTCCCTTGTGCCTCGCGTGCGTCCCTTGTGCCTCGCGTGCGTCCCTTGTGCCTCGCGTGCGTCCCTTGTGCCTCGCGTGCGTCCCTTGTGCCTCGCGTGCGTCCCTTGTGCCTCGCATGCGTCCCTTGTGCCTCGCATGCGTCCCCCTCGCATGCTCGGGCACCAAACGCTCATGCTGCTCGGCCCACTGCCTGCTCCTTCCAACCTCTTTTGCGTGCCTCACTGCCCGCCCCTCCTTGCACTCATCATCTCGTACCTGAACCCGACCACCTCGTCCTCTCACATTGCTCTGCCGCTCTGCTGCCTCTGAATCTGCCTCTGCTCGCCTCCTCCCTCCCTGGGAGCGCAGAAGGATTTCAACGAGGAGTTGAGGAGGTGCGACCACGATCTGGCCAAGTGGAGGGCCACGTTCAACCCCAGCGATGATGACATGGCCGTGCTCGATGCCAATGGTGCGCCCACCATGCCTCCCATGCCCCCTTGCTGCCTCTGCATGCCACCGTGAATGCCACTCACCTCATCACAAGAACGCCTCTCATGCTTCCGTCTTTTGAGACGTCTCAAAAGTCACCTCATCACAAGAACGCCTCTCATGCTTCCGTCTTTTGAGACGTCTCAAAAGTCACCTCATCACAAGAACGCCTCTCATGCTTCCGTCTTTTGAGACGTCTCAAAAGTCACCTCATCACAAGAACGCCTCTCATGCTTCCGTCTTTTGAGACGTCTCAAAAGTCACCTCATCACAAGAACGCCTCTCATGCTTCCGTCTGCCCTCGCACCGCATGCCTTCCCTCCCCTCTCCTCTCACCGCTTGCCTTCCCTCCCCTTGTCCTCCCATGTCTTGCCCTCCTTGCCTTCTCCTGTCGACCTCCCCTTCCCTTTCGATCCCCGACATGGCAGGGGGAGTGGCATGGCAGTTGGCGCAGCAGCTGCTGAGGAAGCGCCCCAACCACGAGGAGGCCGTGTGGCCCAGCGGTGGGTGCCGGGTGCTGTGGGGGGTATGCACACAGCCATGTTCAATGCTCCTGTGGATATTCTGCATCCACTCACTTGCCGCACTGGACTTGCATTTCCATTCATCCTCCTCATTTGCATGGGGGCCTCACTCTCTTGCCTCTTCTCACCCTTTCCCACCCCACCCCTCATGATCTCCCCCTCCATTCCCTTCTCCCCTCTTCCCCTCCCCCAGCCATGGGCGGGCGGCCCTCCGCAGCCCAGGCGCTGCGCCACGCGTTCTTCTCCCTGCGCGCGCCAGAGCCCTTCCGCGCATCACGCCTGGCAGCCGCCACACAGGCAGCGCTGTCAGGCACCGCGTATGCCACGCTGGGACGCGGAGGGGGCGCCATGGCGCAGGCCAAGGCGCGCGCTGCCCAGGAGAAGGCCCGGGTGGCGGGGCGGGTGGAGGGGCGCAAGGGCAGGGCGTGGGAGGAGAAGGGGGAGAGGGGCAAGGCGCGGAAGGAGGTGGGGGAGAAGGGGGGGAGTGCTGGGGGAAGAGGAGGGGAGGGGATGGTCGTTGAAGGGCTGGTGATGGCGTGGGGGGGAAGGGGGAAGGGGGAGAGAGATGATTCAGGGAGTGAGGGGAAGAGGGCCGGTGGGAAGAATCAAGGGGTGAAGGAGGCGGAGGGGTCAGGGGAGGGGAGGGTGGAGGAGGGGGTGGTGTTTGCGCTGCAGCAGATGTGGGCGGCTAGCAATGGGGGAGGGGGGAGTGGCAGTGAGAGCAGGGGGAAGGGGCGCAAGGAGGGTGTAGCGTCGGACGGGAGTGGGAAGGGGGAGAGGCGGGCGCGGAAGGCAGGGAAAGGTGAGGAGGGGGTGAAAGGGGCAAGGCAAGGGGTGGCAGCAAGCAAGGGGGAGGCGCAGGGACAGGCGGGCGCATGGGGGGCATTGGGCGCGCTGGGCGGAGGGGGGGGAGGGCAGGGGGCGGAGGTGGTGCTGGAGGCGCTGAGGCGGGTGCTGGGGGAGGGGGTGGGGGCGGAGGGGGGGAAGGGGGAGCAAGGGGCAGTGGAGGGACCAGCAGTGCGGTGGGGGGAGGGGGGCGTGCAGGGCATGGTGAGCGAGGGGCGGCGGGTAGTGAGGGAGGCGTTTACTGGCGCTGTGGTTGCCCATGCGGAGGCATACAGTGGGGGGTCGGAGGGCAGGGCGGGGGACAAGGGCTCTGGGTCGGGCAAGGACAAGGGGTCTGACAAGGAGGGTGGGTCAGGCAGGGAGAAGGGGTCTGGTAAGGATGGGAGTGCGGGGAGCAGGGAGAAGGCATCATCGGGTAAGAGCAAAGGGGGATCAGGGAAGGGGGATGGAGGCGAGGGGGGTGGGAGCAAGGGCAGTGGCAGGGGGGAGGCGAAGGAAGCAGGTGGGAAGGCAAGGAGGAAGAAGGAGGAGGGCAAGGGGGCAAGGAAGAGAGAGCTGGTGGCCGCAGCAATGGGCAGCAATGGCGCCAGTGGCAGCAGTGGCAGTGGTGGCAGCGCAGTGGAGCTGCCATTTGACCTGCAGCGCTCCAAGGTGGCGGCTGCCTATGTGCTGGGCTCCGCTGCTGCCTCCCTCGCCCGCCTCTTCGTGCCCCTCCAACCCTCCCCCGCCGCCACCGCTGCCAGCGCCCGCCCTGCACCAGCGCCTGCTGCTGCAGCCCCAGCAGCATCAGTGCCAGTAGCAGTGCCAGCAGCACTAGCAGCAGCGGCAGCGTCTAGTAAGAGAGCAGCAGCAGCAGCAGAAGCATCAGTTGCAGCTTCAAATAAGAGAGCAGCAGCTGCGGCATCAGATGCAGCAGTGCTGGCAGCTGCTGCAGCAGTGGCAGAAGGGGGTGCGGCGCAGCAGCAGCAGGGGCAAGTGGGAGGGCAGGCAGGCGAGCGGAAGAGTGCAGGCGATGCGCGGCAGGTGAAGGGGATGGGGGAAGGCGAGACGGGTGGGGCAGGGGGGGGAGGCGCACTGGCGCAGGCGCTGCTGCAGTGGGTAAGGGGAAGGGCAGGGGGGGGAAGTGATGCAGGCGAGGGGAACAAAGGAGCAGCAGCACAGGGCGATGGGGGGCGGGCCAGTGTCAAGCCCAGGGGTGGTCGAGGAGAGGAGGGTGGTGAGAGGAGAGTGGGGAAGCGAGGGAATGGGGGGGAGGGTGGGGGTGGTGGGATCTCGGGAGTGCGAGTGAGGTGGGGGCTGCTGGGACTGGCAGCCAAGGGCGTGGAGAGAGGCATGGAGCGGGCCAGAGGGGCAGGCAGGGGGGGCGTGGGAGGCGTGGGGGTGAATGGCAGGATGGGGGGGGTGAGACTTAAGCCCAGTGCCACTGCTGACGTGGCAGACCCCGTGATGGACAACGGAATCATCACTGACATCACTCTGGATCCCCAGGCCATTGCTGACGTCAGCCTGCTGCTGGCGCTGTGCAGTCAGGGTGATGAGGAGGAGAGGGAGAGTGGGGGAGAGAGTGGAAGCGAGGGGGGGAGTGAGAGTAGATCTGCCGGAGTAGGGAGGCAGATGCTTTACAACAGCAACAGCAGCAGCAGCAGCAGTGAGGCTGGAGTAGAGCAAGGTGGCTGTGCCCCATCAGTGGCCTCGTCAATGCAAGTGGGCCTCACTACCCCTGCAGCCTTAGACGTATCTGCATCTGCTCGCGCCCTGCCACCCACCTCATCCCCTCTGGACCCCGATGCGCACCCTCTGGCAGCAGCATTGCTGGCAGAGGGCGGTGTGGGCGGTGGCGAGGGGGCGTTGGGTGTGCAGCAGGCGGAGGTGCGGGTGGGGGAAGATGGGAGTGTGAGAGTGAGTGCGAGCGTGGGAGGCGTGGAGAGCACTGTGCTGCTGCAAGCCGACAGCACTGGGGCGCTCGTCATGGCCGTGGGGGAAGGAGCCACCGGGGGCCAGGCACCCTCAGCAGCTGCAGCTGCGGCAGAGGGCGCGGAGGCGAGTGCAGTGGCAGCAGGTGGCGTGGGAGGGCCCTCGCTGTCTCCTGCCACGCCACAGCCCCTTGCCACCGCAGCCTCCACTGACACTGCCCCTGGACAGTTGGTGCTGCCGCTGTGGGGGTGGCTGGGAGGGCGAGAGCCAGCCAGAGAGGCATTGGCAGAGGCAGCGGCTCAGCTGGCTGCAATCAGAAGCAAGCTGCCCTCCGCCTCCCCTGCTGCGCCCTCCGCCTCCCTCCCTGCACCCCCCTCCACCTCTCTGCCCGCTGCTTCCCCACCTGCACCCTCTGCTTCAGCACCTGCTCTGTTGCCCACAAAGAATGCAGCCTTGGTAGCTGGTGGTAGTGGGGAGGAGGAGGCGAGTGGGGAGGAAGAGAGGCAGAAGCATCTGTTGTCTGCTGTTGATGTGCCTGCTGTGCGTGCTGTGGCTGAGCCATCAGTCTCAGACGAGAAGGCAAGACAAGAGATAGGAGTGGAGTGGAGAGAAACAGCGGAGGGAACACTGGTGGTGAGACTGAGTGCAGGAGAGCAAATGGGCTTGGAGAGCACAACTGTGCTCAGGGTGGATGCCAGGGTGGGGGAGAATCTGGGCCAACAAGGGAACAGCAACAGTAACAGCAGCAACAGCAGAAGCAGCAGCAATGGTGTGTTGCAAGGGCTGCAGGAGCAGCTGTCAGTGGGCCTGTCTCCCTTCGCGAGTGCTATTCGGGCGCTCACAGGGGTGTCACTGTGGGGGGGGGTGCAGAGGGTGCAGGGCGGCATGACAGAGGCGCAGGCGAGGGAGCAGCTGGAGGAGCTGAGGCAGAAGAGGGAGGCTCGCAGGGCGGGGGCAGAGGGGCTCAACGCTGCTCTGGCGGGGCTCAACAGCCAGATGGTGGACCTGCAGGCCACACTGCAGGAGAACAAGCAAGCCGTCACGGAGCAGAAGAAGATTCTCACTCGGGTAAGATTGTTGGTTGTGAATGGCGTGCCATTTCTTGGTAGCGTTTTTTTGGCTGCCATTGAAAGGAGTGCTTAAATTCCACTGTTTCTGTTATGTTTGCAGATGGAAGTGTTATTGCTGGAGGCTGAAGTTATGCAGGCGCAGTACTAGCCATCTGCAGAAGGCCTTGTAAATTCGGTACTAGTGCATGAGAATTTTTTCTGGTTTGTTGTGATTCAACAGTTGTCATTGAGAAGTGTAATTTTCTAAATTATTCCTTCTGTTGCACTCCTGCCTGACTGGGAAGTGCTCACATTGGCCCGGCCTGTTGGCCTGTCAGATCCCCCATCCAAATTCGCCAGCCGCCTCGACTGCACTGGCGCCATCCCGCTTCGCGTGGGTCCCAGGGCGTCGCGCTTCGCCCGAAAGTTGAAACGGCAGGCCCTCCATCCGCCGTTGAGGGGGACAAGTCGAAGTTGACAGCCAGCGGTGTTGAGATGTCGGCCCGCCATCACCTTCACCACTCGCTGCTCGCTGCTCTATCCACGCCAAACATAAGTGCCTCCGCAGCTGACCGTCATTATACCTGTTGTTTCTCAATGCTCGAGTTTCTTGAGATTACCTCGCTTGTTCCCTCAAGGTAGATAGATTTCTTGCTCTCTCCTGTTAGCTCTTTCTCAACGCTAGCAATTCGTGCCTTCGGGACTCGCTGACATCGACAGCATGGCTATCTTGGCCGTTCAACCGTCTACTCCGCACTGTCTCGTTGACAGAAAAAGCTCCTACTTGGTTTCGCAAGCTATCAGTCCCGTCGAGGATTGTGATATTCTCTCGCCCATAATTTACAGGTAAGCCCGTTATTCATATTCTAATCAAGCTCTCCCCATGCTGGAAAATTCGTCTGAGACGGTATTGTTTCCCTGGTTGCAGCATATCGTGCATCCACGAGAACAAGGAGAACCTGGAGCTCGGCAGTTTCGAGGAGCGGCTGGTGGACGCCTTTTGCCGCGGAACCCTCGACGCTGAGGTGCCGCGAGCCATCGACGACATCATCGCCCTCGCGCAGCGCCTCAGCCTCTCGCACGGCGACACCCACGCTCGCGAAACGAGCCACGCGAGCGACGCTGATTCGCCAGTCTCTGTCGTTCGGCGGACGCCCTTGAACGACATCTCGTCGCTCCACAGTGACGACGACGATCAGGTAAGCCTTGGAAACCTCTCTTTGCGAAGAAAAGACGCCATTCTAACACATGAATAACTAATCAAACGATCTCCCCTTTCGTCACTTGCAGGTTCAGCCAGCTCGCAAGACGAGCTCTGACAAAGGTCAACATAAAAAGAAGCAAGATTCGAGAGCATCGTCCTCGTCTGTGGCTACCCCTCTCGTCACACAGAGGCGGCGAGGCAGCTCAGTCCCGTCGCGCGCTGCTGAGCGAGCCCCCCACGCGGCCGAACGACGCACAAGAAGCTGCGCTGCTCCGGCCTCTGCATTCCGCTGACCGCAAGTCCATGGGCTTCCATGGTTCCCCCCGGCATGGCAGTAACCCGGCATGGCAGTAACTGGCAGTTCCTCTCCCCGGAACTGAGGACATTTGAGTATATCGAGGATAAGTAGAACGTAGTAGCTTCAGCGGAAATAGGCAGCTAACTTGTTGATACCGTAATCTGCAGACTTCAGTAGACAGCGTTGACACTCGTCCAGGTAGAAGTTCAAGCGGCTTCATTTGATTTATTTAAACAAACATACTGTGGCTGCTATACTTAACAGATGAAATTCCAAAACAGCCGGCCTACATGCACATCAATGGCATCTCAAGGGCTAGAGTGCAGCGTCAAGGATGCATGTGCTGCAACTGCTGCAGTGTGAGGAGACGCCCCTGAGGGAGGAAGGGATGGGCGTCCACAGGCATGGTACCTCGGCCCAGATATGCCATTATCATGTCAGCTGTGCCTGGGGCCTGCACCATGCACAGGGTTATTCTACATGTTGAGCAAGTAGGGAAGGTGAGGGGATCAAAACACCTGGGATACGAGCAAGCAAGCAAAGAGCACCTCTCTGGCAGAATCACGGTGACATGGTGGTGTGGTGTGGTGTGTCAAGTCAAGCAGCACTCACCATGAGCAGGCCCGACCCCTCATGGCCCAATGCGAAGAGAACGCCTGGAAGCGAGTCCACAGGACCAATGAGAGGCCTCCCATCCGGTGCTGCAGACAGACAGGTGGATGAGAGTAGGAGATTGCAGCATGCAGTAGAGTCCCAGCATGCAGTAGAGTCCCAGCATGCGTGGGATGTGGGTGCCTGATGCCAGGAGGCAGTGTTGGATGCCTGAGCGGAATGACACACCAGTGATTGGGATAGCAGAATACGATTGCAAGCAGTGAGCAGAACCCACCGTATGGGCGCAGCCCCGTGCGAACCACGTTCACCCGAGCACCTATTGCCTCGCCCTCTGCTTGCTGCACCACCTGCCCCATGTGCTGCTCACCCGCCGCCCTGTGGCATGGCAGCAGCAGGTGTGCGAGGGAGGGCAGGAAGAGGGCAGTGCGGCGCAGAATGGCAGTGATGGTGGGCACGTGGGGCTCCACACTGAAGCCCGCCAGCTCCCTGCTGCTGCCTGGTGGGGGTAGTGTGCATGGAGGGCAGCAGCCATGGAACAAGTATGAGGCGAAATGCAGAAGAGAGGTTGCTGGCATGTGCAAGGTGGGAGGGGGGTGGGCAAGTGATGTGTGTGAGCGGGGCAAGAAGAGGGCAGGGCTTGGGGGAGCGGGAGGAGAGAATGGCGCACCGATGAGCAGGTGGCCGAGGTGGTCGCACGTGGCAGTCATGGAGATGGCAGCGGGCGGGCACGGCGATGAGGAGGACGGCTGCATGGTGGCTGTGGTGGTGGGGCTGGGAGAGGGCCGTGGGGGGGCAGGCGAGGCAGGGGGGCCGGATGGGGCGGCGTAGTTGGCGGTGTAGTCAAACTCCATGAGGGCATGGCGCAGGGAGAGCGCGGGGGGCACGTCCTTGAGCTGCAACAGGAAGCCCTGTAGGTGTGGCGGGAGGTAGGGGCAGCAACAGGGACGAGGGTGGGAGGGAGGAGGTTTAAGAACTGCAGCACGTGCGGGTGTTCAGGTAGTTACACGGTGTGCATATGGGCTGAGAGTGGTAGATCTGGCAGTGCAGCCTCGTGCCTCCCATGCAGCATTCTGTGTGTGACCAGAGCACCCATCACCTTGCGAGGGCGCACATGAGGCACCACCAGATCCTGCTCCCTGCCGCCACCCGTGCTGCTTGCTGCGCTGCTACCCGGACTACCCGAAGTGCCCTCCTTCAGACTATCATCAGGCTGAGAGGCTTGCTCGGTGGTGGCGGACGGAGGGGCGGTGTGGAGCAGGGCGTGGGCGATGAACCCCGAGGACCACGTGCCCGTGGCCACCACCATCGCCTGCGCTGCCACCACCCTCCGCTGCCCCGTCGCCACTCCCACCACCCTGCCGCCTCCTGCCGCCCTGCACGCTCCCATGGGGGGGTGATTGCACCCAAGCACATGCATTCGCACACATACACACACAAATGTATCAGCATACATGAGCGACGGACACATTCATGCACACACAGATGCACATGCCAACGCTACACACACATACCACGTGCACACACATACCACGTGCACACACATACCACGTGCACACACATACCACGTGCACACACGTGCATGCAAGTGACAATACAGAAGCAAGGCTCGCTGCCCTCGCCAAACGTGTCTAGGAGAGGAGCTTCAGCAGCAGCAGGCGGTGGGCAGTCAGCAGCAGTGAGTAGCAAGGGGCGGTGGGTGCTGACCGGAGGAATTTAGTGGCGCTCTCCTCAAACAGCTCCACGTAGCGACCCGACGAGGCATGCTGGCGACAGCGCTGGGCGCAGATGACAGGAAGTACGGAGTGAATGGATGGAAAGCAGGATGATGGACGGAACAAAAACAGAATCGGAGTGCTGAAGGGGGATCGGATTCTGAGCGGGTGCCGGTGAGTGCGTGCCATGTCATGTTATGAAATAACGCCATGCCCTGCCATACACTGCAGCACGTACAGCGAGCAGGGCGTGCATGGCGAGGCGAGCATCGAGCTGCCAGTCAGAGGGCAGTAGCAGCGCGGACGAGCACCCAGCCGGCAGCTGCAGCGCCGGCTCCACGTCCCTCAGGGCGGCGGCAGACAGCAGGTGCGCGGACAGCCCTGCCTGCTGCAGCGCTCGCTGGTGCTGCTCCAGTGGGGCTGTGTGGGACGGCTGTGATGGCACCAACATGCTGCCTGGTGGGCCGTGGGGCGAGGAGGGAGAGGCAGAGAGAGGCGGGGAGGAGGGGAAGATCGGGGAGAGAGAAGAAAATGGTGAGGGGGAAAGGTTGGAGCGGGGCGGCGTGGTGGATAGTGACAGCGTGCCTCACCTCACGTGCTCCTCTCCTCTCCCATGTGCCCCCAACCCATGGTTTGCTCCCTCAGCCCTTGCCTGTGTTGATGCGTCCCAGCCCCTGGGTGCTGCCTGTGAGGCGGCGGTGGTCCGCCTCCAGCCCGCCCGCCATCTCCTCCCACCGCCGCTTGCTGTGCTCCGCTAGCTGCCATGTCACGCCGCCCGGGGAACGATGCGCCATCCATATGTAGCCCTGCCCTGCCAGCATGCCAGCATGCAACCATGGTAACATGCCATCACGCGAGAAAGACAATGCAGCGTCAAGCTCTCAGCTTGTTGTTTTGCACACCATGCAAGGGCAGCATGCCGCATGCTGTGTCGCCGTTTCAGCGAAATTCTGCAAACCCACTTCCTCACTCCTCACCTGCACTGCCTCTCGCCTTGCCGTTCCTCACTTCCTCCTGTCTCGCATCGTTTCATCATCTCATCACTACCTGCTGTGCTGTGCCACCATCTGTCCCTGATGCCCTCTCCCCTGCGCCTCTCCCCTGCGCCTCTCCCCTGCGCCTCTCACCTGCGCCTCTCCCCTGCGCCACTCACCTGCGCCTCTCACCTGCGCCTCTCACCTGCGCCTCTCACCTGCGCCTCTCACCTGCGACTCTCACCTGCGCCTCTCACATGCGCCCCTCACCCGTGCATCTCACCTGCGCCTGTAGCCCCTGCACAGGGCCAAGCACTATCAATCACCGCAACTCTGGCGTCAGCGATGCACAGCCCCACCACGCCAGCGCCCACTATAACCACATCAGCCTCCACATCCCCCGCCGCTGCCTCCGCGTTCCCCCGCCCCCACTCCTCCTCTCCGCCCCGCGCCCCTCCCCCCGGCACCGCGTTCTCCCACGGAAACGACGCCAACCCAGCCGCTTCCGCCGCAGAGCGGCACGCCATGGGTCGGCGGACGGCGCGAGGCGGGGTGGCCGGCGATGTGGCTGGGGGGAGCGCTGTGCGGAGGGCGGCAGGCGCTGTGGTGAGCGCAGCGGTTAGGCGCAGAGGAGGCCGCGGAGAGTGCGATTTGAGAGGTGGGGAGTGCTCGGGCGACGAGCGGCGGCAGGGAAGGGGGGGCCGCGAAACGCGCAGAGGTATCGCCATGGCGGCGCGGGAGGAAAAGTGTGCGGGGCGGTCTTAGGGCGGCGCGACAGCGAGATGGCGGGATATTTGAGTTTGCGAGATGGCGTATTGGGGGGGCTGGAAATTGGAACGTGGCTGGGGGGGGAATTTGGCTGGAGGGGAGAATGTGGCTGAAGGAGGGGAAATTTGCTGATGGGGGGAATGTGGGCTCGATCTGCGTTTGGTAAAAAATCCCTGCTATAAAGAATTTTGTGTGTGAAATTCAATTTGGACATCTAGCTACACTACCGAAACATTAAATCGATTCTTTTTGCGAAATGGAAGACAAACGCCAATCACCAGAGGCAGGAGCTGAAGCACGGAGCATCAAAGGCAACACCTAGGCGCTGCACCAGCCAACCCCAAGGGAATATCGCGAATCCCAAGGCTCGAATATTCGCATTTCGCCGTCACCCCATCCGACACCTCCATGGCTTCCCTTCGCCCGCACCCCCTCGTTCGTCCAGCGCCACCCACACCCCAAAGCGTCACCCCGCCCGCGACTCTCCATTCATCGCTTGCACTCGCCCCCACGCTCTCCTCGCGCCCCGCATTCTGCCATTCGCCGCTCAGATTACACGAACGCCCTATCTTCACCACGCGCACATCGCGCCAATCCCCGGCCGTCCCTTCCGCCTCCGCCATGCCTGCGCCACCCGCCCCGGTCCCCGAGCACCTCGTGCAGTTCGCGCACCGTCTGGCGGACGCCGCGCGTGAGGTCGTTCCGCCGTTCTTCCGCCAGCCGATCGGCATCGAGCTGAAGGCGGACGAGAGCCCGGTGACGGCGGCGGATCGCGCGGTGGAGGCGGCGATAACGGCGCTGATCCGCGCGGAGTACCCCGCGCACGGAATCCTGGGCGAGGAGCAGGGGCTGCAGGGACCCGTGCAGGCGGGAGACGCTGGGGAGGGCGCAGCGGAGGGAGTGGGCGAGGGCGAGTGGGGGAGCGAGTGCGAGTGGGTGTGGGTGGTCGATCCGATCGACGGCACGGCGAGCTTCATCACGGGCAAGCCGCTCTTCGGCACGCTCGTCGCGCTGCTGCACCGCGGCCGCCCCGTGCTGGGCGTGCTCGAGCAGCCCGTGCTGCGCGAGCGATGGGTCGGCGTCGCGGGCCGCCCCACCACCTTCAACGGCGTCCCGGTCGTCACGCGCCGCTGCGCCGACCTGCGCGATGCGTACGTGTACACCACTTCGCCGGACCTCTTCCCCGGCGCCAGCGGCGAGGCGTTCCGCGCGGTGAAGAGCGGTGCGCGCAAGGCGAACTACGGGTGCGACTGCTACGCGTTCGGGCTGGTGGCGAGCGGGTTCGTGGACGTGGCGCTCGAGTTCGGCGTGAAGCCCTGGGACTACCTCGCGCTCGTCCCCATTGTGGCGGGCGCGGGCGGGCGCATGAGCGACTGGCGCGGGCGCGAGCTGCGGCTGGCGTCGCTGCGCGCGGAGGACTGGGTGGGCGACGTGGTGGCGACGGGCGACGCGCAGCTGCATGCGACGGTGCTGGCGACGCTGGCTTGGGAGCAGCGCGGCAAGGGCGAGTGACTGGCGCGCAGGCTCGGAGCGGACGGGGGAAGCGGCGAGGAGGCTTCGAAGGAAGGGGGAAGGCGGGGATGACGAGAGGGCGAAGGGTTGGGTGGGAGTGAGGGGTGACGACAAGACGCATTGTGTGGGGGGGTGGGAAAAGCAGAGCAGCGCAGAGAGGCAGATGGTGAGGTCCACGCAGGAGCACAAACAATGGGCTGGCTGGCGTTGCTTCATGGGTGCTGGCCCCCTCATGCCTCCACAACACACTCATCCTCCACACACTGCTGCTCCACCGCCTAACAGAGGCAGCAAGCCAAGGGAGCAGCAGCAGTCATGGCAGCATGGCCAGCTTGCATGTCATTGTGATGTGATCCACATTCATCCTACTGTACTCCGCTCAAATAAAAGCGTTGCCTGTGTTGGGAACAAACAATCTTAAGCGCCTCTGTCGTGTCGAAACACCAAGGCACAAGCGAAGCAGAGCATATCGAGGCACCAGCGAGTCAACCCTCGGAGGTTGAAGTAACCGCTGGAGGTTACGCGAAAGTCAAAGGTCAGCGACCTTTGACTTGACAAATGCAGCGCGACAGCAAGGACACACAACTGACTCGACATTGAGCAGTTGCCCGAGTCGCACTGTATCGAACCGCAACAGTAAAACAGTTTAATTATATCTCTTCGTATTCTTTGTACTCTTATATAAACCTTTGTACTTGCTTGTTTTAATGAACTTACTTTGCCCTCACATACCAGCGCAAGGTGGTTCAAGGACTTCATTTAAACGCTTCCGCTACTACATCACTCTACCCAGAGTTTAACCCTACCAAAGATCCTAAGGGGCACTCAGCCCAACATGGTATGAGAGCTGGTTAGGGTTAAAATGATTTCTCCTTAACACCTAATACACCAAGAGACATGTCTACCAGAAAGGAGAGGAGCTCCTCCAACGGCTCTCCTGGTACTACTCCTACTCCACCTCCTGCCTCTGGCCTACAGACAGAGGAAGGCACAACAACGAGACCGGCAGCTGGGTCTACTGAAACACCCGCAAACCAAGGCGCGGGCTTCGATCCAAGCATGATGGAGAAGTTCTTCTCCTTCATGTCCTTCTACGAGCAGCATCAGCAAGGAGCACCTGCGCAATCAAACAACAGCAACAACAACAACAACGTGACGCCCATGAGTCTCGATGGCTCATCCTACGCACGCGGGAATCAACAACAGCAACCTACCTTCGTTCCGTACGAGCCCCAGCGCGGCTCCGTCAGCTTCATGCCACAACCACAACCTGCACCGGGACAAGAGAGAACGCTGGACGCACTACAAGTTCAGTCGCAGTTCGCGCACGTTCTAAAACTGCAAACGACAAAACCCTTCGACGGGAAGGATTTCTTTACCTGGTCGTTCGAATTCGAGCTGATGATGGAAGGAGCGCAAATCCTTGGCTTCTTCGACGGGTCCCTGCCATACCCAACAAACGGCACACAGTATGAGAAGCAGCAGTACACATATCAATCGATGATGGCGTACACGATACTACTGAGGAACATCACTCCAACTCAACAACAAAACATACGGTCTTACCGAGGCTACGGCAACTCCGCGGAGCTCGCGTACAATCACTTGAAGAGCCTGTATCAAGCAACAGACAGCGTAAACCAAAGTCGGTTAATGGCGCAGCTGACAACAATCGAAATGAAACCAGGCGAGAAGGGAATGGCGTATATCAGTCGCTGCCGCGAGCTGCGCGACAAGCTTCTTCGATGTGGAGGATCGATTTCAGAGGACGCCTTCGTCACGGTTGTCATCGGCGGTCTTGGTCCTCACTGGCGCTCCACTCGTGCCATACTACGAGCCCACGGGAAAATTTCTGAAGCAGCACTTTGCGCCGAAATCCACGCCGAGCAGCAAGACATGGACCTGCAAGAAGAACGACACAAGAGAAAGGTATCAGTGCCCGAATTCGCGTTTCACACTCAACGGCGCCACAACAACAACAACAATCGACCGAAAATCGTACCTCCGTTCTGCCACCTCTGCAAGACTTCAGGGCATCCTCGTACGCACTGCCCGAATCGACAACAGTCAACGTCGCCGCAACGCCAACTTCGCCCTTCAAGCAGTCAAGTCGCCTCAACGCAAGCAAATCCGACAACTTCAGTACAAGTCTCAACAACATCGACGGGACAACCTGCGAAAGGAACAAGAAACATCGTCAGCTGCATGGCAAGGCTGAGTGACTCCTGCGTAACTGAGTCACCACCATATTACTCACAAGAAGAACAACTCGACAACAGCACGCCTCGCCGCGAGTCACTTCAACCGAACCCGACGTACGCCGCCATCGCTCAAAGCGAGCCGTCCGGGAAGGATACATGGTTCTTGGACAGTTGCTGCGGACAACATATGTGCTCTTCAGGACGTTTCGTTCAACGCGAGCACCAACTTCAACGAGAAGTCGTCATCACTGTCGCCAATAATCAGAACCTGCGCACACGACGACAAGGAGTAGTGCAACTTCAGTCACGAGAGACGAATGTCATACTGCAAATGTCCAAAGTCCTAATAGCAGAAGGACTTGGCTACAACTTACTGAGCGTCAGTCAGTTGATGGCGAAAGGCATACATCTGGAAGCCGACAGTACCACCCAGGAGTTCAAGCTGTACCACGGGAAGGGCGGCCTCTACATCGGAAAGGCGGTCCTGAAGAACAATGTCTTCGTTCTCGATTTCGTCCCAGACCTGGGCACCGCAGACAGTGACGGGATCGTCACCTTCACATCTTGGACGCACCCGCCGGATCTCGACCCCAACTTCAGTCCGGAAGGCTTTTGGTATTCACATACCATTCCTGAAGCAGAACGAACACGTGCGTTAGTAACAATACAACATTCGGCAGCAGCAGAGACAACATCGGCAGCAACAGAGACAACATCGGCAGCAGCAGAGACAACATCGGCAGCAGCAGAGACAACATCGGCAGCAGCAGAGACAACATCGGCAGCAGCAGAGACAACATCGGCAGCAGCAGAGACATCATCGGCAGCAGCAGAGACATCATCGGCAGTAGCAGGAACAACAACAGTAGCAGCAACAACGACACCACTCCTCGTTGACGAAGCACCACCAACACCCGCACAGCAGCTGAATCCGGCTCAACGGGAAGTCCATAGAAGCGCAAACTTCACCGCCAGCTTCTACTCCAACTCCGACGCGTATCGACGCTCACCCGGACACCGCGCCTCCGAAGACATCTGGCACGCACGCATGGGACACCCAAGCAACACTGTGTTAAACAACACAATAAGAGCAGGAGTCCTTGACAAGGACTCGTTACTACTACTCGACGGCAGAGAACTTCAACGGGCACGAGGAACATGTCTTACCTGCCCCGAAGCCGACTTACCACATCGGCCGTTCACTCCTCATCACAACCCGAGCACACCCGCGTACGCACCACTCGAAAAGGTGTATAGCGACATCTTGTACAATCGGGAACCAGGACAAGTAATATACAACTACACAATCACCTTCATCGACGCCGCCACCCGTTACGTCTGGCATCTAAACCTACCCAGCCGCGACATGGTCCTCGAAGCATTCGCTGCTTGGCTACCAGTAGCAGAAAGAGAGTCGGGCGTAAAGCTGAAAAGCTTCCAGTCTGACGGAGGAGGAGAATACACCTCTCAGCGATTCAAGCAGTACCTGGCGGAAAGGGGAATCAAGCAGCTCCTCTCTCTTCCCTACGCCCATCAGCAGCAAGGTGTAGCAGAAAGAATGAACAGGACTCTGCAGAACAGCATGCGCAAACTGTTGCGTGGCATGCGGCTACCCAACCACCAGTGGCCTGACGCGATGGACCACGCTGTCATGCTGCACAACTTGCTCTCATCTTCATCACTACCGAACAACGCATCACCGCATCTGCTGTGGACAGGAAAACAGGGCAGCACAAAAATGTTACGAGTGTTCGGATGCATGGTACAGTACCGACCCCCAGCAGCACGAGCGGGCCGATTTTCACAACGCGCACAGTGGGGACTACACCTCGGCATCGAAAAGAACTACAACGCGTGGAAAATCTTTGACGTCCACTCCAAGGAAACAGTAGCAGCACGCGACGTCATTTTCTACGAACGACTCACGCTCCAGACATACCTTGCCAACCTGCAAGAGGACCAAGATCCCACAGGTGGTTTTCGTGGTGACCGAGCCTTCGCCTCGGCAGCAGACGAAGCTGACTGGGACGAGCAGAATGTGGCCAACGCATCAGAAGAAGCTGGACCCCTTCCGTTCTGCTCCGTCGACGTCCCCATGGACGAAGATAACCCTCGCGAAAGTGTCAACGCCGAAACCTTCTACTACTTCGCCGACAACGGTTACGTAACACCTGCGACAGTCAACACCAACGAAGCAGAACGAGTAGGACCGAATTTCATACCTGATCCATAAGCGGGAGATGAAGCAGCTTATCCCGAGGATGCAACTCTTCCCCGCTACTCACAGACTGGACTGCAGATTCTCGGACTCGTCACCGCAGTCCACGGCAACACTCTTCCTAAGGAGCCTGCGACGGTTCAGCAGGCTCTGGGGGGGGAACACAGGGAAAAATGGCGTGAAGCCATGGACAGAGAGTTAAAGGCGCTGGAGGAACGGAACACCTGGAAAGTTGTCCCCATCAGCGTGGCAAGGAACAAGACCATTCTCACCGGGAAATGGGTCTTCCGCGTTAAAACAAAAGCAGACGGCACAATTGAGAAGTTCAAAGCACGCTGGGTTGTGCGTGGATTCGATCAGGAGCACGGACGGGACTTCACCGAGACATTCGCCCCGGTTAGCCGACATACCTCACTTCGAATCCTCCTCGCGATCGCCGCCATGAAGAAAAGGAAGCTACGGCAAATCGATGTCGCCAACGCGTTCCTCTACGCACCTGTCGACGTGGAAATCTTCGTCGAGCTCCCACACGGTACCAACGGGGAACCTAACCAAGTCTGTCAACTGCTGAAATCACTTTACGGGATCAAGCAAGCTCCGCGGCTATGGCAACAGTACCTACACGCTCGCCTCATTCGCATCGGATTCCGCCAACTACCTCACGACCAAGGAATGTACCGACTCACTAAAGACACCGACTACATTCTGCTGATCGTCTACGTAGACGACCTACTCTACATCGGCTCCACTGACGACATCACCACCTGGTTCGAAGGGGAGCTACAGAGGGACCTCACACTCACGGTCTCCTCTACCGTCACACAGTACCTCGGCTTGAACATTCGGGAAGAAGAAGGCGCGATCTACCTCAACGCCGCTAAGTACGCCGACACCATCGCCAAACGCTTCGCGCTCACACCTACCACCATCTCTACGCCCTACCGCTACGCGACAGGAAACCACAAGGAAGGATCCTCTCTACTCAAATCCGCCGGGATACGCGACTACCAGAGAAAGCTAGGATGCCTTCTCTTCGCAGCTGTCACCTGCCGCCCCGACCTCTCATACTCCGCAAGCCAGCTCGCCACCTACCTCAAGAAGCCTGAAGCAGAACACCTGGCGGAGCTCGACCGCGCTCTCCACTACTTCGTCAGTACCTCAACGATCGGCCTAACTTACTACAAGAACACAACTACACCGACTAAATTAATCGGCTACGTCGACGCTGATCACGCTGGCGACTCCGACAACAGGCGCTCCCGCACCGGCTACATCTACCGCCTCGAACCTATCGGACCGATCTCCTGGCAATCGAGCAAGCAGGAATTAATTGCTCTCTCGTCAGCTGAAGCAGAATATATTGCACCCTGCTCAGCCACCAAGGAAGGACTCTATCTTTGCGAGCTGCTGGAAGAAGCGAAGTTAGCCGAGTTACCCAACTTCACTCTGTTCTGCGACAACCAATCTGCAATTCGCATCGCCAACAAAAATGGATTCGCGAACAGAACGAAGCATATCGCTCTGCGATATTTCTTCGTGAAAGACGAGATTGAGAAGGGGAGACTTGAACTGTCCTACTGTCCCACGTCCGAGATGGCAGCTGACTACTTGACCAAGAAGCTCGGAAAACAGAAGTTCGAGTACTGCATGCTGCTGACTGGACAAAGCCACGTCACCAGCAGCGACACTCCAGAAGCGAAGGGGAGTGTTGGGAACAAACAATCTTAAGCGCCTCTGTCGTGTCGAAACACCAAGGCACAAGCGAAGCAGAGCATATCGAGGCACCAGCGAGTCAACCCTCGGAGGTTGAAGTAACCGCTGGAGGTTACGCGAAAGTCAAAGGTCAGCGACCTTTGACTTGACAAATGCAGCGCGACAGCAAGGACACACAACTGACTCGACATTGAGCAGTTGCCCGAGTCGCACTGTATCGAACCGCAACAGTAAAACAGTTTAATTATATCTCTTCGTATTCTTTGTACTCTTATATAAACCTTTGTACTTGCTTGTTTTAATCAACTTACTTTGCCCTCACATACCAGCGCAAGGTGGTTCAAGGACTTCATTTAAACGCTTCCGCTACTACATCACTCTACCCAGAGTTTAACCCTACCAAAGATCCTAAGGGGCACTCAGCCCAACAGCCTGCTTCACCGTTTGGCCGTGTATGCAGACATCACATCACCACAATCATATGAGAGTGTAGCGCATCTGCTGTGTTACTGACCTCAAGTAGTCAAGCTTGCAGTTTTTCTTACTGCAGCCTTGGCTTCTCTTCATGTAAGCTGCACGTGGTGCGGTTACGGTATGTGGTTAGGCATGACTTGTAATGCCAGTCCTGGTAGTGTTCCTGCACCAGTGCCGCCTCACTTGCCCTGTGCTGCCTCTGACTGCCGTGCTGCTGCCGCTGGCCGCCTGTATGGGATGGCCTCTTCATCATGGGGCCATGCTGTTCTTCTACCGAATTCTGATTTGTGCTCCATGATCCCAGTCTGTAGCCAAGTAAGCACCTTACAGTAAGCTGATCACTTTCTATCATGCTGTGCAATTCTAGTTAGCATTAAGCTATATCAACTGAAGTGATAAGATGATCAGATGTATGATTCTTTTCAACTGTCCATAAATTTGCTAAATGTACCCTGTTTCACCATGTTTTCAAACAAATGGTATTACCTACAAGAACAACTTTGTGATTCCCGAAGGCGGGGCGCTGATATCGGAGCACAGTACCTAGAACCTCTCGCAGATCATCTCGCCAGTCCCTTTCAAAACTGTCCCGCAACGGCTTCCGCCATGCAGCCCCGCGCTCTCCTCCCCCATTCCCCGCGCCCTTCCGCCTTTTCCCCGCTCACCCATCCCCTGCTCACCCGCGTTTCCGCCGCTCCCCGCCGCATCTCGCCTCGCGCCCAGCAATCAGGAGCTTCCGACACTCCGCGCGCCGATGCGCCCGCGCCTGCGCAGGCCACGATGGCGGACGGCACGGAATTTGTGCGCCCGCATCTGCTCCGGCTGAAGCCCTACACCCCCATCGTGCCGTTCGAGGTGCGCCCATCCGCCCTTCCAGGTGCGCCCATCCGCCCTACCAGGTGCGCCCATCCGCCCTTCCAGGTGCGCCCATCCGCCCTTCCAGGTGCGCCCATCCGCCCTACCAGGTGCGCCCATCCGCCCTTCCAGGTGCGCCCATCCGCCCTACCAGGTGCGCCCATCCGCCCTTCCAGGTGCGCCGCGCCGCCACGCCGCGGCTCTGGTCATGGCGTGCCGTCACCAGAAATTCCCCCGTGTTCGAAAAGGCGTGGCGTGGCGTGGCGTGGCGTGGCATCGCCACGGATCAGCCCCATCTTCCGTCTGCGCCCTGCATTGCATTGCATTGCCTGCCGTGCCTACCCCACTCAACACCCTCAATCCCATCGCGCCTCTCCTCCCTCCACAGTCTCCGCATCGCTCACCCCTCTCCCTCCCTTCCCTTTCCCGCCCCTCTCACTGAACTGCTGCGCCTGGGCGGGCGGGGGACTGCGCGCGCTTGGATTGGGGGGAGGGGGGGGGGTGGCGGAGCAGGTGCTGTCGGCGCAGCTGGGGCGCGCGCCCGAGGACATCGTGAAGCTGGACGCCAACGAGAACCCCTACGGCCCGCCGCCCGAGGTAAGTGCTGGGGCTGTTGTGTTGGGGGGGGAAAGTGCATGGGAGAGGGGGGAATGCAGGGGGGAGGAGGGAGTGCAGAGAGCAGGGGGGAGTGCAAGGGGCAGGGGGAGTGCAAGGGGCAGGGGGGAGTGCAAGGGGCAAGGGGCAGGGGGGAGTGCAAGGGGCAGGGGGGAGTGCAAGGGGCAGGGGGGAGTGCAAGGGGCAGGGGGGAGTGCAGGGGCGGGGGAAATGCAGGGTGCGGTAAGCAGTGAGCGTGGTGATGGGGATGTGGCGAGGCCAGGGTGCATGCATGTGCATGGGTGTGCTCTTCGACTTCCCATGCCTGCCATGCCTGCCATGCCTGCCGTGCCTGCCGTGCCTGCTTGTGGTAAGGCAACCTCCCACTTGGTATGAACGCATGTGTGTGTGTGTGTGTGTGTGTGTGTGTGTGTGTGTGTGTGTGTATGTGTTGCCATGGGTGCATGGGTGCATGGGTGCATGGGTGCATGGGTGCATGGGTGCATGGGTGCATGCGTGCATGAGTGCGTGCGGCACATGGGAGAGCAGGTGAGGGAGGCGCTGGGATCACTGTCCTTCCCGCACGTGTATCCGGACCCGGAGAGCCGGCAGCTGAGGGCGCTGCTGGCGGAGGACTGTGGCGTGCCCATGGAGCACCTGCTCGTGGGCTGCGGGGCTGACGAGCTCATCGACCTCATCATGCGGTAACCCTGCACCCCCCTCCTCACCCCCTCTCCCCCCGCCCCTGTCCTTCCCCCTCCCCCTCGCCCCTTCTCCCCTCGTCCCTGTCCTTCTCTCCCCTTCCCCCCCTCCCCCTTCCCACGAGTGCATTGTGACTGGTCACGCATTTCAGGCTAAAACCGTGTACCATTTGCACCCCTGTCCCGCCTTCCCCTGTGCCGCCTTCCTTCCTCCCTTCCCGTGTGTTTTGTTGGTGTATGCTCGCTTGTGGTGTGACTGGATGACGGCCGGGCAGGTGTGTGTTGGAGCCGGGGGAGGCGATAGTGGACTGTCCGCCCACGTTCACCATGTATGCGTTCGACGCCCATGTCAACAACGCACGCGTCATCACGGGTAAGCCGAATCTGCACCACCTCAAGGGGGCACCTCAGGGGGGCACTTCAAGGGGGCACCTCAGTAGGTGGGTCATTCTTGCAGCACATCCAGTTCTGTTTCCTACTCTCACTGCTCCCTCCACTTGCATCCACTCGTCTGCTGCATCTCCCCTCCCCCCCACCCTGTGTGCCCAACCCCCCTCTCCCCTCAAGTGCCGCGGCGCAGCGACTTCTCAATAGACGTGGCGGGCGTGGCAGCAGCGGTGGAGGCGCATTGCCCCAAGCTGCTCTTCCTCACCTCGCCCAACAACCCCGACGGCAGGTGCGTGCTCTCTCGGTACGCAGATGGGGGTTCGTCCCCATACTGTCCCCTCTTTCCCCCTTCACCTCTCCCCCCGCAACACACACTCGCACAGACAGACACGCGTGCTAACCTTCCCTCTATCTCTTCCCTCCCTCCTCCCTCACCTCCCTCCCCCTGTCCTTCCCCCGCCACGTGTGCAGCATGTTGAGTGGGGAGGACCTGCAGCAGCTGCTGCAGCTGCCGGTGCTGGTGGTGTTGGACGAGGCGTACATCGAGTTCAGCGGCCGCCCCTCCGCCATGCCCCTCGTGCAGCGCCACGCCAACCTCATTGTGCTCCGCACCTTCAGCAAGCGCGCTGGTCAGCACCCCCACCCCCTCCACGTCCTCCCTTAGCTTCCGTGCCCCTGCCTCTCATCTACCCCTCATCGTGCCTTTCAAATTCCACATGCTCGCCTCATGCCGTGCTCCTCTGCCCCGCTGTGCTCTCCTGCCCTGCGTGGGGGCGAGCAGGGCTGGCGGGGCTGAGGGTGGGGTACGGGGCATTCCCCCTGGCGCTGGTGGAGTACCTGTGGCGCGCCAAGCAGCCCTACAACGTGTCTGTCGCTGCCGAGGTCGCCGCCTGTGCAGCGCTCTCCAACCAGCCCTACCTGCAGGCATGTCATGTGTCCGCTAACCAGCAATAGGTAAGGTTTGTGTTGCCAACAAGAGTGGGTGCAACTGGGTTATAAGCGGTGCACTGCACCCGCACTCGCTCGCGTCTGTGCTCATGTGTTCATGTTGTCTTGTATTTATGTTGTCATGTGGTGAAGTTGTCATGTGCTGATGTTGCCGTGTTCACATGTTGCCGTGTTCCCATGTGTGCATGCTGCCATGTTATTATGCGTGCATGTCGCCATGTGCGGGCCGGGGGTGCGAGCAGGAGGTGAGGGTTGCGCTGGTGAGGGAGAGGGCGCGCCTCATGGACCACCTCACAGCGCTGCCCTTCCTCAAGCCCTTCCCCAGCCATGCCAACTTCATTCTCTGCGCCCTGCACAACACTCACTGGACTGCCAAGCAGCTCAAGGTAAGTCATCGGTATGCCTGCACTGCACAGGTCATACCATATGTTGAAGTGATGCTGGGACAGCGTGTATGTTACCGGCACGCAGCAGTCACTGACGGCGTGTGTGGTGGTGTGTGGTTGGGGTGGGAACCGTGGCATGTGGGCAGGAGGAGCTGGCACGGCGGGGCATCATGGTGCGGCACTACAGCCAGCCCGACCTCTGCAACTACATTCGCATCAGCGTCGGCAAGCCCGAGCACACAGATGCGCTCATTCTAGCACTCTCACAGTTAACTTAGCATAGGTACCATGCAATGTACTGTACGTTCAGGCCCTATGTTATCAGGATAAATTATCCGTAGGTGTTGTGGGTCTGTCCTGGAAAAACAGCATTAGGGAAATACTTGTCCTGCAAAATCAGTATAGTGGTTATGTAGCGTACTGACAATTCAGTATAATGGTGTAGGTTCAGCCCTGATCACTCAGGATAGTGTCGAATCTTGCACTGGAGCGAGATGTACTGTTTCGGAGCCTAAAATATACCTACACGTGCGAGCACCTCAAGCAACGGAACCAGCAGGGATCAAGCTGACAATCTCTTGTATAACAGACCCACATTTTACCCAACACAAAACTTCACGATTTATTAGTTCAACAACAGACACAAAATGAAATGTTTTGTTGCGCAACTTCGCTTTTGCCAGCCAATTTGGCTGGCGATGTGCAAGGCTGCTTGTCAGTTCGCTACACGCCACGCTCGCCACCGCCACCTTGGCCATTTGCTTGTACGGTGCTGTAACAGTTTCGCACCATGCAGCTGCCAGCGACTTGCACTGCCAGCCACTTGCAGCTGCACCCCAGCATTACACACTTCGAATGTCTTGCAGCCACTGCCAGCCACTTGCAGCCACTGCCAGACATTCTCAGCCTTTCGATCGCCGCTAACATAACACGCGCAAAATACGCAGGATTGTACTAAATGTAGCACTGAGCTGCTAGGATACTGTCAAATGTAGCACTGACATTTCTAGATACCTCACCCTGTGCAACCCTGACAATTCAGGGCAAATTCTGATTTCCTAGAAAACTGCCCCGAGGCCTCAGTCTACCCCCAAACGAATCTGAGGGCCTGCGTACAATGTTCAAGGAAAGCATTCACTGTTAGCAATAGGAAATACATACCATTCGGTGGGATTGACCAATTCAGTTGCGATGCTCTCTCCTAGATGTCAGAGGTCCATTGGAGATCCCCGATTGATAATAGGGAAGGGTTATAGGCACGTTGACCTGGGGGGTTATGAGCACACTCACCCGCTACACAAACAAACCCTTTTATCACAGTGGGTAGTGGCTGGGATTCTGACATGGTATCAGAGTGAAGGTCTCGGGTTCGAATCTCAGTGTGTGCACCTCGGGCATCCCAGTGCGGGGGGGTGTCTGGAGATTCCCGATTGATCCTAGGGAAGGGTTACAGACCAGGGACGTCGATATAAGACGAAATTCGTCTGATGGTCTGAAAATCAGACTCGTTTTTTAGGGGAAATGAAGTGTGGGGGAAGAGAGCGAGGGGGGATGGAATTGAGGGGAAATGAAGTGAGGGGGAATGGACTGAGAGGGAATGAAAGTGGGGAAAATTAGTGAGGGGAAATATAAGTGAGGGGGAATGGAAGTGAGGGGAAATAGAGTGAAGGGCAATATTAGTGAAGGGAAATAAAGTGAGGGGGGAATAGAGTGAGGGGGAACAGAAGTGAGGGGAAAAAGAAGTGAGGGGGACAGGGAAATGTAGAAGAGTGAGGGGAAATATACAGGAGGGGAAATGTAGTGAGGTGGAAGAGAGTGAGGGGGAGTGGAAGTGAGGGGAAACAAAGTGAGGGGGACAGGGATGAGGGGGAACGGAAGTGAGGGGAAATTGAGTGAGGGGGAATACAAGTGAGGGGAAATGAAGTGAGGGGGAAGAGAGTGAGGGGGGATGGAAGTGAGGGGAAATGAAGTGAGGGGGAATGGAGTGAGAGGGAATGAAAGTGGGGAAAATTAGTGAGGGGAAAAATAAGTGAGGGGGAATGGAAGTGAGGGGAAATAGAGTGAAGGGCAATATAAGTGAGGGGAAATAAAGTGAGGGGGAATAGAGTGAGGGGGAACAAAAGTGAGGGGAAAAAGAGTGAGGGGAAATAAAAGTGAGGGGAAATATAAGTGAAGCGGGATGGAAGTGAAGGGAAATAGAGTGAAGGGCAATATTAGTGAGGGGAAATAAAGTGAGGGGGAACAGAGTGAGGGGGAACAGAAGCGAGGGGAAAAAGAGTGAGGGGAAATATAAGTGAGGGGAAATGTAGTGAAAGGGAATGGAGCGACAGGGAATGAAAGTGAGGGGAAAATGAGTGAGTGAAAACATAAGTGAAGGGGAATCGACGCGTGTGGAAAACAAATGAAGGGCAATATAAGTGAGGGGAAATACAAGTGAGGGGAAATACAAGTGAGGGGAAATACAAGTGAGGGAAATACAAGTGAGGGGAAATACAAGTGAGGGGAAATGAATTGAGAGGGAAGAGAGTGAGGGGGGATGGAAGTGAAGGGAAATGAAGTGAGGGGGAATGGAGTTAGTGGGAATGAAAATGAGGGGAAAATGAGTGAGGGGAAATGTAAGTGAGGGGGAATGGAAGTGAGGGGAAATAGAGTGAAGGGCAATATTAGTGAGGGGAAATAAAGTGAGGGGGAATAGAGTGAGGGGGAACAGAAGTGAGGGGGAATAGAGTGAGGGGGAACAGAGTGAGGGGAAAAAGAGTGAGGGGGATTATAAATGAGGGGAAACAAAATGAGGGGACAGGGATGAGGGGGAATGGAAGTGAGGGGAAATTGAGTGAGGGGGACTACAAGTGAGGGGAAATGAAGTGAGGGGGAAGAGAGTGAGGGGGGATGGAAGTGAGGGCAAATGAAGTGAGGGGGAATGGAGTGAGTGGGAATGGAAGTGAGGGGAAAAAGAGTGAGGGGAAATATAAGTGAGGGGAAATGTAGTGAGGGGTAAGAGAGTGAGGGGGAATGGAAGTGAGGGGAAACAAAGTGAGGGGGACAGGGATGAGGGGGAATGGAAGTGAGGGAAAATTGAGTGAGGGGGAATACAAGTGAGGGGAAATGAAGTGAGGGGGAAGAGAGTGAGGGGGGATGGAAGTGAGGGGAAATGAAGTGAGGGGGAATGGAGTGAGAGGGAATGAAAGTGAGGGGAAAATGAGTGAGGGGAAATATAAGTGAGGGGGAATGGAAGTGAGGGGAAATAGAGTGAAGGGCAATATAAGTGACGGGAAATAAAGTGAAGGGGAAGAGAGTGAGGGGGAACAGAAGTGAGGGGAAAAAGAGTGAGGGGAAATATAAGTGAGGGGAAATGTAGTGAGGGGGAAGAGAGTGAGGGGGAATGGAAGTGAGGGGAAACAAAGTGAGGGGGAAAGGGATGAGGGGGAATGGAAATGAGGGAAAATAGAGTGAGGGGGGATTCAAATGAGGGGAAATGAAGTGTGGGGGAAGAGAGTGAGGGGGGATGGAATTGAGGGGAAATGAAGTGAGGGGGAATGGACTGAGAGGGAATGAAAGTGGGGAAAATTAGTGAGGGGAAAAATAAGTGAGGGGGAATGGAAGTGAGGGGAAAAAGAGAGAGGGGAAATATAAGTGAGGGGAAATGTAGTGAAAGGGAATGGAGTGAGAGGGAATGAAAGTGAGAGGAAAATGAGTGAGTGAAAGTATAAGTGAAGGGGAATCGAAGTGTGGGGAAAACAAATGAAGGGCAATATAAGTGAGGGGAAATAAAAGTGAGGGGAAATACAAGTGAGGGGAAATTAATTGAAAGGGAAGAGAGTGATGGGGGATGGAAGTGAAGGGAAATAAAGTGAGGGGGAATGGAGTTAGCGGGAATGAAAATGAGGGGAAAATGAGTGAGGGGAAATATAAGTGAGGGGGAATGGAAGTGAGGGGAAATAGAGTGAAGGGCAATATTAGTGAGGAGAAACAAAGTGAGGGGGAATAGAGTGAGGGGGAACAAAAGTGAGGGGATTAAGAGTGAGGGGAAATATAAATGAGGGGAAATGTAGTGAGGGGGAAGAGAGTGAGGGGGAATGGAAGTGAGGGGAAACAAAGTGAGGGGGAATGGAGTGAGAGGGAATGAAAGTGAGGGGAAAATGGGTGAGGGGAAATATAAGTGAGGGGGAATGGAAGTGAGGGGAAATAGAGTGAAGGGCAATATTAGTGAGGAGAAACAAAGTGAGGGGGAATAGAGTGAGGGGGAACAAACGTGAGGGGATTAAGAGTGAGGGGAAATATAAGTGACGGGGAAGAGAGTGAGTCGACACTTTTTTGGGTGATGTGATGTAAGTAGACACCATGGGGTGGAGATGTGAGGTGAGTCGACACTTTTTTGGGTGATGTGATGTAAGTAGACACCATGGGGTGGAGATGTGAAGTGAGGCGACACTTTTTTGGGTGACGTGATGTGATTAGATACCTTGGGGTGGAGATGTGAGGTGAGTCGACACTTTTTGGGTGATGTGATGTAAGTAGACACTATGGGGTAGAGATGTGAGGTGAGTCGACACTTTTTTGGGTGATGTGATGTAAGTAGACACCATCGGGTGGAGATGTGAGGTGAGTCGACACTTTTTTGGGTGACGTGATGTGATTAGACACCATGGGGTGGAGATCTGAAGTGAGTCGACACTTTTTTGGGTGATGTGATGTAAGTAGACACCATGGGGTGGAGATGTGAGGTGAGTTGACACTTTTTTGGGTGACGTGATGCCTTGGGGTGGAGATGTTAGGTGAGTCGACACTTTTTTGGGTGATGTGATGTAAGTAGACACCATGGGGTGGAGATGTGAGGTGAGTCGACACTTTTTTGGGTGATGTGATGTAAGCAGACACCATGGGGTGGAGATGTGAGGTGAGTCGACACTTTTTTGGGTGACGTGATGTGATTAGATACCTTGGGGTGGAGATGTGAGGTTAGTCGACACTTTTTTGGGTGATGTGATGTAAGTAGACACCATGGGGTGGAGATGTGAGGTGAGTCGACACTTTTTTGGGTGACGTTATGTGATTAGACACCTTGGGGAGGAGATGTGAGGTGAGTCGACACTTTTTGGGTGATGTGATGTAAGTAGACACCATGGGGTGGAGATGTGAGGTGAGTCGACACTTTTTTGGGTGACGTGATGTGATTAGACACAATAGGGTGGAGATGTGAGGTGAGTCGACACTTTTTTGGGTGATGTGATGCGATTAGATACCATGGAGAGGAGATGTGAGGTGAGTCGACACGTTT